CAAATTCATCTTTTTATTTTTATTTTAACAAACTTTATTTGAACAACAAAATGCTTGACGATATAAACAATATTCATAGAATTGTTTATCTATTTGATAACAATTTATTTCTTCAGGACAAATGGATTTTTTATCTTTAAATTAAATTAAAAAGAATTTTTTTTTTATTTTAAATTAAATAAAAAAAAACAAATCAATACAAACTAGAACATTTTACTGTTGAAACATCTGATAATGAATAATTAACAATTAATTTAAGTGAAGAATAAGATATTGATTTCGATAATAAGAGATTTTTTAAAGGAAAAGATGAAGTTTTTCTAAACCATTGAATATATATTCCTTTTTCACATCGATTTAGTTCAATATTACATTTATATCCATGTGGACAACAATGACTATAATCACCTTTTCGCATTTTTACTTTTATTTTTTAATATTAATTTTTATTTAACAATAACTTACTACAACAAACAGCATCAGCTAAAATAATAAATAAGACAAATTTACGTTTTAATTAAAATAATTAAATAATAAACAAACGTAATGGACAACAAGCATAATTTCCGGTTTGTAATTGACAACATGTTTCACCTTAATTAATATATATATTTATATTAAAAGTTTTTTTTTTATTTAAATAAAAATCTACAAACCATCAGAACATAACATTTCACCTAAAATATTTTAAAAACTAATATGACAAACAAAAAATAAAAAACATTGAAATATGATTGTTACCATCAGGACATAAAACATCATCAGAATTTCCAAATCCTTTTTCACATCTTGAATGTTCAACATCACATGTATAACCACTTGGACAACAATGAACATTATCATCTTATTTAGATGTTTTAGTTTGCTTTTTTAAATTAATATTATATTAACTTACTACAACAAACAGCATCAGCTATTATTCAAAAACAAAAACAAATTGAAATAAAAAAAAAAAAAAATCTCCATTGTCTAAAACATACGAAGAGGACAACATCCATATTGACCTGATGACAATAGACAACATGTTTCCTTATCAGGACAGTAACTAGACAAATATTTTATTGTATCTTAAATTATTTATTCATCGATTTAATTTACCTTTGTCCATCTATTTAACAACAAAAAGAAAAATCTCCATATATATGTATATTTAAATCAAATATTTAGTTATTTTACCTGGACATAGAACAGATTTTATTTCAATTCGAATAGAATTTAATTCTCTTTTCGACTATATATATATTTAAATCAATTCAAATATTAAATTATTTATTTGATAAATTAAAATAAAAATCTTACTAAATGATAATATTCATTCGAATAAATATTATTTATTCCTATTAATAATATATATATTAACAATGACATTTAAAGATATAATAATCAACAAATTAATATAAGTTTATTTCAAAAACTTATCTTTATATATCTACGATTATATATTGAAATATAAATTAAAAATCGACGATTTCGAAATCAAATTTAATAAAATATAAATATAAATATAAATATATATGATTTGTTTGATTATAAAATAGATAATCGATATATTCATTTGTTTATTTCGTTTGTTTAATTTAAATAAAAAAGTCTCTCAATCGATTGTTTGTTGATGACCAGTGAAATATTATTGACAAAAGAGGCCGCTTATTTTCAAAATATCATTTTTCAATCAATATCATTTTTCTATATTTCTATTATATTATTATTTTAAAATAAATATTAATCTATCATCATGTTATAGATATTCACATTAATATATACGGACTATTCGTTTTTTTTTTCATCGGACTAATCTCTAAGACAACTCAATATTAGTTAATTATCAAATATAAAATAGATTGAAGTCCCATATATGCGCTTTGTTTTTCGTCTTTTTTTTTTCTCTTTTTCTCTTTCTCTCTGTTTCTCTTTCTCTTATATTCGATGTAGATGAGCAAAAACAAAAAAGAACAAAAAAAAACGGATTTATTTCCTTCGTATAATAAAGAGAGAAAGTTGAATTAAATTTATATTATTCGAATAAAAATAATGTCTAAATTAATATTATTATTATTATTGATAATAGTATATATAATAAACAATGTTAATTGTTATGGTTGTGATTGTTCATGTTGTACAGGTTCTGGTTGTACATTAGTTTATCAAGGAACAATATCAGTATCAACATGTGCTTCAACAACATGTACAGATGCTTGTAAATCAAAATATAGTACATGTTCATCGGGATCATCAAGTGCTGTTTGTTCAGCTAGAAGTTTTTTTCAATTTTATTCGATTTTATTTTTAATTATTACTACAATTATATCGATTTTATTATTTAACAATTGAATTTATTCAATTTAACAAACATTCAATATTATTTCATTGATTATCATATTCATTCCGTTTTCTTTTTTTTTTTTTTGTTAAACAAAAATTTTATTATTTTATGTCTCGATCATTTATATTAGTCTCCAAAAAAATTCTTTTTAAAATTTGTTTTTGTTCAAAATTTAAAAAAGAGTTCAATTGTTACTGTTTTAAAATGAAAACAAATAACAAATAAGACATAAATTGTTTTATTAAAATATAAATCAAGATGAATATTAAATAATAATTAATTAAATAATCTCATTTTAATAACTCTTTATTTAAAAGAGTTTTTATTTATTTAAACAAATAAGAAATAAATATATTAACGATTATTAATTATTTAACTGTTAACAAGTTAACAATTTCAAATAAATCATAAGATTATTTATTACTAGCGAGAACCCGTGCATACTGCACGGTCTTTTTTT